ACTACCTCAGATATGGTATAGTACAGGAGCTGGTAGGAAAATAGCATTAATCTTTCTCCCTGAAAATGTAGCGCCAGACCTGCGAGGTGCCGTCTCTCCTGGGTACTTCTAAGGCATCGAGGACGAGAGCAGCCAAGCACGAGTGAGAGGTGACCTTTGCGAGAGGTGCTCTGCACTGCTGGAAAGGTTTCCCAAACTGGCCCGTGAGCGGTGCACACATTGCAAACAGCTTTTCGGTGGGGCACGCTCGGGATTTCTGCTTGTAGAAGCATGGTAGGGGCGGGCAGCAGGAGGGGATACCAGAGCAAAGCTTACGGGCCCTTTTGCTAAATCCTTACTCCCGTCCTGAAGCCCTCATGGAGGCCAAACTTCCCTTGGCTTGCCTGGGATGCTCCAGGTTAAAGTCTGCAGACTCAGATGTTCTCCACTGGGAAAAGGACTGTAGTTTGTGACCATTCGGGTCCGGAGCTGCAGGTAGGAAACTTTTGCAGCCCTGGACAGAGCCTTTCCCTTGAGCCCTTGAGCTCCGGGAGCGATGGGGACGGGTGTGGGTGCATGCACCCTCTGCACCCAGCAGCCTGCTTGCCCGCAAAGGGTGCCAGGAAGGCTCTGCGCTGTGTTTTGGGGGGCCAAACGTCATCCAGCGAACCATAGTGTTAATGGTTCCCAGCATCACACATTGGAAATCCTGCCTCATGCCCCTGTCAGTGTTAAATTGTGCCCTGGGATGCCAGCAGCAGCCCCTGGTACTGGGGATTGGTCTGGGCTGCTCCAGGGGAGCCCGGGGACAGATCCAGCCACAGCCTTTGGCAGCCGGGAGGAGGATGGGTATCGCTGTCTGATGGGGTGCTTCCCTGGTTATTATGTATTCAAAAAGATGTTCCTCTGTTGCAGCGTTTTAAGCTAAGCATGTCGGTGATGGGCTCCAGAACCGGACCTGCTGCTAATTGCTGACTCAGCAGCGCAGCTGCTGTCTGTGCTGGGGGAGACGGTGGCTGCGACCAAAGCCCATCATCGCCGACAGTGCTGCGGGGACGCTGGCGGCAGGGAACCTGATGGCACTGCTGGGGGTCATGGCCATGCTCGGGCCGCACCGGAGGGTTTAACTGTGAGAAACGTCCACCTGCTGACCACCTCTGCCCTGCGAGCCACCGGCTCTGTTTGGTTTCAAATTGAAATACAGACACGTCTAGAACGAGCTGCATTTCAGTGTTTTTTCATGCAGCATCCACCAAGCCAGGGTCAGAAATGGAGAAAATGGTACAAGGTGGAGACGGCAGCAGTGAGGGAGATTTCAGCAGCCAAGTCCTCTCCACTTGCCACATGTGGTCCAGCCCTGACAAGACATGGCTGACCCATGGACACTGCTATTTTGTGGGGGCACGGACATGTCCGTGAAGCACCGAGGCCAGAGTGAGCGCTGAAATGTGCCCACCACAGTGAGGGAATTACAACGTCATTTTTGTAAAGGACACAATGTGGTGAAAACAGCGCCCAGCCTCAGACCGGTGATGCTCAGAGAAATGGCATGTGGTCCTCATTAACCATGTGCACAAGGGGGTTGAGCCAAGAGCGGGTCACAGCCCTCGCTGTGACCAGAAATGGCACCAGGCTCCCAACCACAGATTTGGGATGTTCGGCTGTGTTGGGATTCCAAGGTTTGATTGAGACACGGACTAATTTTGAATCCCAGTATTTGGAACGCTGGATTTGGGGTGTGGGGATGGACACACGGTGCACCAAGTGCCTTTGTGCCAGAATGGGCCACGGAAACACCGTGTGATGGGACCAACATTCCTGCCTCCACCTCTGAGCTACTCCCTTGAAAGAGGTTTGTCCATCTCCATTTTGTACCTACCCACCCATCTGTCCCTCTGGCTCAGCTATGACTTCTAAGGTGGTTCAAAGGAAAAAACACATGTGCTAAGAAAGTGCCAAAAATGTAAGAGCGGCATCTCACTGCTGCGGTCGTTGGGTGGACATTCCCCAAGGACAACTTGTCTCGTCCCCTCATGTGGCTCCTTCCACCTCTCAATGCCCTCCCAGTTTGGCACATCTCCCACCCCACCACCTCCGCCGGCGCGGCTGGTGCCAGGAGATCGACCGGTGCCAGGAGATCGACCGGTGCCAGGGGATCAGCCGGCATTCACTAGAGCAGGACCCGACCGGTGGAGCCGGGACGGGCATTGGGTGTGTTTGGTTCGTGGTCAACGGCAATCGCAGAGCGTGTCCCGAGGACCGGAGGTGAGCGGGGTGGTGGTGGAGGACCCAGGGAGGATGGGACAGGACGGGGGAGCCGCGGGGACCCTTCCTTATCGGCTGGGTGGCGCGGCACCCCGCTGCCCGCCCCACTACTCAGGCGAGTAGTCCAACTCGTCGTTGGCGATGAGAGCCTCCGATGGTGGTTTGTGCCTGCCTTTGCTTTTCGACCTGCTACTCGTCCGATGGCTTTCCTTTGCTCCTGCCATTTGCTGGTATGAGAAGCCCTTGTCCTCGGAGGGACCCCAGCCCGGGTAACCCTCACCCTCAGCGGCATAGGAGAAGCTGTCATCCACAGAGAAGGGGTCGACGTCCACGTCGTAGCGCTGGTAGGTGCTCTGGTGGAGGGCCTCCTCCCGGGCACTGATCTCCAGTGTGCTGTTCCACATCCCATAGCCAAAGTAGATGAGCAGACCTGTGGCAGGAGAGAGGGAGAGGGTTGGACACCGGCTGCCCGCACCAGCCCCATGACCCCTGGTAAAACATTGCTATAAACACGCCATGCCCCAAAACAGCACCTGCCCCCAAAACCCCACGTCAGGGGTGGGTGGAGGATCCAGCCCAGCTCACCGCCAGCATCCTCCCACCCAGTGCCGGGCCGACACCAGCTGGTGAGAGTTAAGTGTATCTAAATATACCTATATTTTTTAAGTCAGTGTATTTTGTAGTTGATGTCTGCTCTTCAAACCCATTGAGTTTGTGGTTTTGGGCTGCTGGCTGTGACCCAAGGGCTGTATGTCTTAAACATCAGCTGGGATCGCTGCTGGCCACAGGATTGTGCCATCTGCAGCTTCGGTGGGACAGATGTGTGGAGACTCCCAGCAGACGTGCGGAGGCTCCCAGGTGCTGACAACCCACATCTCCACCCTGTTAGCCTCCCGGCTACTCTTTTCGCTCTGGAGCTTTCTTATGCTCTCAGTCTCTCTCCTGCTGGTGCTCACAGCCATGTGTGCCCCAGGGTTGTCAGGATGAGTGTATTCGGTATTAAACCAGCTCTGAAATCCTGTCCTCCTCCCCTCAGGAGTTTCATTTCATCTTCTCCCGCTAGCCCTACCTGATCTCACCTTCCTGCACCAATCCTTTCCCTGTAAGCAAATGTATTTGGAGATGTAATTTCTAGCGGATCCTGGGATTAACCTACCCCAGAAGTGTGCATAGAGAAACCCAGACTTCTCCACATGCTGTGGACTGGCCATGGGGGACTGCTTGTGAGGTTAAATCCAGAGGCTGTGTGGCAGGATCGCACATCTCTGCCAGAAAAACAAATGGGATGTACCTCCCCCAACAGGCAAGCAACCGTGGATGGGGCTGGTGGAGTCCATCACACCTTAATGGAGTGGCTTAATTGTCTCGTTGCCATTGCTGGCACCTGAAGAGGTATTAGATGTATCCACAGGGGAAAGCATTTAATCACAGTGGATTAAATTGATGCTTTGGAGTCACTTTGCTTCCAGCTAGAAGGGCTTTCCCTGGGTCTGCAGCTTCACCTATTGCCTTTGAGGGCCAAAAAAGCACTGAGTATGTCTTTTCCAGCCCAAAGGGTGCACGTGGCAGCTACTGCCCAATGGCTTGGCTTGGGGTTAGGGGACTCTCGGAGATGGAGCTTTGCTATGGGACCTCAGTTGTGCAGGACTGACTCAGGATAACTGCAATCCTCACCCCGAAGCAAAAGAGAGAATGGCAAAATGGAAGAAAAATGTGGCAGCAACCTCCCCCTGAAGGATAAAACCCATGAGACTACTGTAAACTCTCTGAGACACCAGAGGGAGATCCAAGGTCTGTTCATGTCATCTCCTGGCTCTGCCAACTGAGCTCAAACATCTGCAGATGTCAGGAGGCACCCGAGAAAAGCATGAAGGCTGGTGAGCCCAGTGTGGTGGCCTGTGCCTGCCCACTCCTCCACCAGGAGGGGCGATTCCTGCTTTTACGGAGGTGGCAGCTGACTATGACCTTTGCCTCAGTCCTCATTCTCTTTCCCCACCGCTTTCTCCCTGTTAACCCAGGAACCTGAACCCTGCTCCCAAAGAGGAGGGCTGCTCAGGGGATACTTGGCCAGGGATGGTCCTTTTGGGTGCTGGCACCATGCTCAGCGTCTGTTGTCTGCAACTGGGGCTCCTGTGGGCTGCTGCAATATGTGTGTTTACCCAGAGGGTTATTTCTCGGTAGAGAGTCCTTGGCTTTGATATTGTCTTGTTGCTTCAGTTCTCTATAGTCCAGACTTGGGAGCCTCCAGGAGGAGCTGTGAGAGCTGCTCTTTTTCTCTTGGGTTTGTGGAGTAAGTGGGTTGCAATGTAAAGCAAGGGAAACTATGGATATGCCAGGCTCCTGGCTATGTGCCAGGAAGTCTAAATTTGACAAAAAAAAGGTCCATGACAGAGCCTCTGAGTCCCGAGATCCCCCTGCCACAAAGTTAAGGACTTAGACCAAGAAAAGGAAATACATTCCACAGATCCCTTGGCTCTGTCTCTCCCAGGGCTGTTGGGGTGGGGCAGCTCTGGGCTTTGAAAATGCAGTGCTGAGATTTTGGTGTGGGCTACTGAAGAGCTCAAGTGGGTGAAATAGCAAGAAAGTAGGCAGATTTCTGTAGGAAACCTGCCTGTGAGGCAATTTCCAGAACCCACCTACTTTGCATCAAAAGACTCATCAAAATAGTCACCTTTGCATGGAGAAGTTTACTCTCATCAAACTGACATTTTCTGGAGGTGTAATTTTCTATTTAGCTGTGGTTCGGGGGCTTGATTAACCAAGGTTTCTAAGAACTTCAGGATGACAAGGGGCAAACGCAAAGGACTGGGTATGTCCCAGCTGAAGAAGCATCAGCCTAAGCACTCTAATTAGGGAAGTTATTATTAACATACTTTCAAAAGAGTGTTAAAAACTTAAAATAAATGAATCTGGGACTCACCCACAAAACACCAGACGGCAAATCGGATCCACGTGACTGTGGAGAGCTTCAGCATGAGATAGATATTCACCAGCATAGCAAAGGCAGGGACAAAGGGCAGACAAGGTGCCATGTAGGGCAGCTTCTTGGGGTTTTCTGGCTGCTGCAAGATCACAAACACCAGCACGACAATGAGCAGGATCATCAGCACAACGAGGAGGACAGCCCACCAGCTCTGCTCGTAGATGTAGTCTGCTCCAAAAATGATGAAGGAGCAGAAGATGAACATCAGGACGAAGAGCAGGAGCACGCAGGTGGTGACCGTGTGGCCGGTGGCTACCGTGGGACGGTCCATTTTCCCCGGCAGTCCGAGGTGGATCCTCATCGTGTAGTAGCGAGGGCCAATCAACTTCTTCAGCTTGATGAGGTAGATGTTCTCAGACTCATCTGCCTCTATCCCCGAGGTCATGTCGACTGTGCCATAATTGGGGTGATTCACGTTGTAGGTGGATTTATCAGATTTCCCAATTAGCATCTCGTTATCCCCCAGGGATGGCAGATTTTTTGCCCCACATGTGTTGGTCGGTGGGCCAGTGAACTCTTCTCCTTCGCTACCTGGGGAGCAAGCTTCCTTCTCGCAGTCAGCCAGGATGCCCTCCTTCTTCTTGGTGTGCTCCTCGGAGAGGAATTTGACAAAGCCGTCAATGTCACTCTCGGGCTGGTACCGGAGGAGCAGGACACAGACGGAGACCAACGTGTAGGCGAGCAGCGTGCCAATGGACATCATTTCTATTAGGTCCCTCAGGCTAACCAGCAAGGAGAGCAGTGCTGCAAGGAATCCAGAGACGATACAAGCCACTATGGGAGTTTCCGTGTAAGAACTGACGTGGGACAAAAATCTGGAGTGCAAAACGGTTGCAGAATGTTAAAATTGCAGATGGCAGTAGTTCCCTGTTGCAATAACTCTTACGTGGCGGGAGGGGCCAGGCTCAGAGCTGTGATCTCTTCAGCTCTTGTTCCTTTTTGGTGCTGAGACTCCAGACACCTGGGGACTGGAAATACTGCTGAGACTGGATCTGGAGTTAGACCTAGGTCTAACCAGCTCTCAAATGGGCACTTGGACACTTGCAAATAAGTGCCAAGATTTTATCCATATAAGCTGCTCCCCTTTGCAAGTAACTCTTGAATTAAATGCTCATCCTCCCATAAGCTGAACCTCTAGTTACCAGCACCAAATGAGAAACTTTTGCCTAGATCTCTCCTGATTTTTTTTCCCCCAGGATTTTGCTTTGGTGCCTGCCCCATTCTGCAAGCACCGAGTCTGTGCATGCCTGCTTCTCCCTGCAATGATGGCACTGGGCTGTCAGGGTGCAGGAGAGTACCTGCACCCCCCCAGCACACTTCTCCTCTGGGACCCAAGGGGGAAAAAATAAATGCCAGCATGGGCATGACTGACCTGAAGAGCAGCCCGTCACCAGCCATGGCGTAAATGACTCTTGGCATTGGGAAAAGGGAACCCAGCAAGCTGACAGTCAGGCCGGCCACGGACCCAATGGCAACAATGAACTTCGCCGCGTAGAAGCCATTGGTGACAAACATTTCCATCAGCGGGGACTCGGTGTCGATAGCATCGTAGGGCACCATGAGCGTGAGGATGATGCTCACCTGGGGAAGGCGAGAGGAACAGGACACGGGTGTCAGCTGGGGACTCACAGGCACAGGGGCTGCTTCTCAAGAGTGGAAAGCAAAAAAATTTCATCTGATTGGGATTATATCTCCGGTGGAGGGGATGTGAAATGATAGAGGTAAGGCCTCCGAAGGCAACAAGGTGACACCTTGAACCTTGCTGCAGTGGTGATGCAGGAGGCTGGTGGGACTCGGTGGGGTTGGTAACACTCGCATTGGCCATGTTCCTGCGTGGGGACTGTGCTGCCCGAGTCATGCATTCCCCATGGGACAGACCCAAAACCCAAGATGGCTTTGCTTGGGGCAACACTTTTATCTTATTTGAGCTGAAGAGAAATTGGTTTCGCGGGAAGCCCACCACACTGCAGGAGAGGCAGTGGGTGAGTATCTTTGAAATGTCAGAACAATATTTTTTCTCCTTCGTGACTCAATTTTGCTCTTTTACAGGGAAAATCCCTGAGTACAGATATGCATTTCTTGGGGTGCAGAGCAGCTGCATATCTCTCGCATGGCCATCCCTGCCCATCTTCCCCATCACTTGGACCGTCTTTCATATCTCCAGCAGAAGCACTGCTGCTTTTCCCAAAAACATGGAGAAAAGTTGCTGCAGTGCTGCTGCTCCTTCTGCTTTGCTGCACTTCCGGATGAAAAAATAGCTACGGATGGGGATGAGGCATGAAGAAAAAAATGGCTGCCACCATCTCCCTGCAGCTGGCAGAGGGATCTCAGCAGGGTGACAGGAGCTTGGGGACAAACTGGGCTGGGGCCGAGGGGAGCCTTGGCAGGACACTGCAGTCACACAGAAACACAGCTGATCTCCGTTCCTACCAAAGGGCCCTTGTCCAAGCATCGGACTGGCACCCTGGCTCATGGGGAGGGGAGATGCACGCATGCCCAGAAGGGACATGATAGAGATAGAGAGAGAGAGATATATATTTGTGTGTGTGTATATATATATGCACATACATACATATTCATGTACATTTACGTATGTATAACTTGTACTTACAGACACATATGCTGTCAAGCACATGACGAGCGAGGCTGTGATGGCGTAGGGGATGGAGGTGTTGGGACTCTTCGCTTCTTCTCCCGTGGTAGCAATGATGTCGAAGCCGATGAAGGCATAGAAACACGTCGCAGCCCCTTTGAGCACCTGCGTGGAGGATCAAGCATCTGAGTGCCAGGAGGGAGGCTGGCACCCAGCCAGGGAGAGGGAACTGAGCAAAAATGAAGGAGCTCAGTTCTGCCTTGTCTGAGCTAAAGGGCGAGTGGGGGCAGATCAGGGGGTGCGCACACAGAGGTGGGCATTCCCGTCTGGGGACTGACCTTGGGAGCACCCATAACCCAGTGATCTGGTCTAGGGAAAATATTTCAATGTGCGGCCCGAGTCACCGGAGGCATCTGCAGCTCACTCAAGGTGCACCACAAACCTGTGCCGACGCAGTGCCCGAATCTGCTGGGAGATCCTGGCCGCGACAGAGGAGACAATTAACCAATTTCAGGTTTGTTTTCACAATCCTCCACCCCAAATCCGTTTATATTAGTAGGGATTTGGAGCATGTTTACATGTTCCATCTTAGCAAGATGTCTCATGTGGCAGCAAGATCCGCTAGCAGAGGAAGCAGAAGAGAGCAGCAACAGTCAGATGTGAGCTGCTTTCCAAACAACCTCTGTTTTGCTTGGAAGCTGCAGACAGGTTAGGAGCACACGGTGGAGCACTTGGATGAGGAATTATTTGTACTGTTTAGTTATTTTTTTCTAATGTGATTTTTTTAAAAATATACAATATTAGCAAGGGCATTTATAGGAAAGAAATGCTGGAGCAGGCTAAAGACTGTGTGGCTATGTGTGAGCTAATTTGCAGCTATAAAACACTCACACACATCTAGCTAGCTAGCTGGATACCACGTGTCCGTCACATCTCTGTCATCTCAGCTGTCTGGTGATGGAGCGCACAGTAAAACTCACCCCTTTCAGGGCACTGCCTGTAATTACCTTTTTAAAGTGTCCCCTGTGCTCCTGGGGATCTCATGCTTGTGCTGTGGTAGATTTACTTTTACAAACACTTTGGGAGACAAACAACCAGCTGAAAATGACGGGAAGACCCTATAGGTTTTGATGTGGTTTGGATATGTATCTTTTAAAACTATGGGGTTTTTGCCAGGAGATATTTGGTGAGTTGAATTGGAGCAAAACAGTTGTTTTCTATTTTCTCTTTTTCATTCCTATTGTATGGCATAAAAAGCCAAGCACAATCCAAAGGTAAATATGAGCTCTGCTCTCAAATGGGCCTCAGTGCTCTTCTCCTCACTGTTGTTCTCTGGCAGAGAGGTATTGATTTACCAAAGGGAGGTGCAGGGACTGTATGGCAGCTTGGGACCCTTTCAGTAATCAAGACTCTTGGTTTACTTTACTTTCTTGCTTATTTTTCTGCACAAAACCCCGATGGAGTTGAGCAGTGTAAATCTGAGAAATTATCTTGGGTTTAGGCCAGCTGAGATATTTTCAGTCTCTGTTCATCCTTGGATAAAAACCAGTGCAAGCAAGCTAAAAAAGCCAAATACATCCAAATTCTCAGTAAGCTTTGAGGGAACATCCATAAAATAAGTACTGGCAGGTGGCATTATGAAGTGCTCAAAACAAATGCTTGAGAACATTGCTGTTGAAAGCCAGCCAACACAAGTATCTCCCCCTCCGCAGAGGCCGAGCCAGCTCCTCCTGAGCGCCTTGTCTCGGATGACCACCGCATTTTGCTCCATTGCCTGGCAATTAGCAGAATTTTCTGGTGTATACTTTCACACGGAGTTTGGATCTCCAGGAGGACATTTTGGAAAAGTTCTGAGTTTATTGTAAGAGCTGGCAGGAGATACGGGCAAAGCATTGCCGTACCCTTTGGGTTTGGTGGAGTGAGGAGGTTTGGATCCAAGCTTGCAGTGGTGAAAATTGGAGGTCCCTGGCCAACATACGGGTGGGTTTGGCAGGACTGAGATTTGGAGAGTGCAGTGGAAGTAGGGTGTGTATACCACGACCAGAGGTGAGCGTGTGGCAGGTGGGTGGCACCGCTTAGGTGTTGTGTGTCCCTCCGTGCGCCCAGGACTTACCCCCGGCCATCCAAACGGCAGGAATTGCCCTTCAGACCAGTTGTCACCTTTGACATAGAAGAGACCAGCAATCATGATGAAGATCCAGACTGCCAGGTTAATGACATTGAGCACGTTGTTCAGCCCCACTGAATTCTTCACCCCCATGGCCACGATGATGGTGACAATGACAGCAATGACCAGAGCAAGAAGGTCAGGGTATGACTCCTCTCCTTTCCCTGGGTAAGAGAAAAGAAGTGTGTAACTCTCCATCCATAGCTGTGGACAGCATCTCCAGAAACTGGGGGGGCTTTTAAAAATGCTTTTCAGACCCTGAGGCTTTGCAGAACTCCTTGATCGCATCCAAACGTGGTCTCCAGATGCCCCTGCCTCTACGATCTAACGCTGTTTTATTAAGGTGATAAATCCTGATGCCTCAAGACACTGTTAGGAGTTTTGGGAGGGCAGCAAACAAACAATCAAGTCCCAGTTTGTATAACATGTATCTGCCAAGTACTAATTAAAAATCAACCAAACATTAAGTTTTCACGACACAGGTACAGGACAGCTAGCTGTTTTACTTACTGGTAGGAACCATGGACTGTTGCTGGAACTGCTGGTCATGCAGGACCATCACAGCCCCGAGTTTCTACCTGGCGGTACTGCAGCCACACCAGCCTGTACCGTCTGATAAGGCTCTGTGCGTGCCTCGACCAGACCGGGCAGAGTGCTCGCACTGGGTGAAGTGCTCCTGCGCTGTCATTAGCCTCTGTCATTCAACTAATTTTTCTGGATGCTTATTCTGCTAAATGCCAGCTCATCCCAAAGGGGCTCAAAGTATCATGTATCCCATCCCCCCAAATCCCGTCTTGTGAACCAGACTGCAAAGGCAAAGTACTAGAGGCAGACAGATGGTAAATAATGAATGAAGCCTAATAGCCATGTCTGACTACTGACGAGCTTCCAATTACTTTTCAGGCCCTAATTAATGGAGGTAGCTATGCATGGCGTGACGCACCTAGTCCGTTCAACGTCCCAACGCTGTTGATCATCCAGCGGCTGATGGTGTGGTTGGCCAGCGAGTCGAACATGCTGCTGAGGGCGCTGGCGCCCGCGGCCGTGCCGATCAGGTACTCCAGGATGAGGTTCCAGCCGATGAAGAATGCCACGAACTCCCCCACCGTCACGTAGCTGTAGGTGTAGGCAGAGCCCGTGGTCTTGGGGACCCGCACGCCAAACTCAGCGTAGCAAACGCCTGTTTAGAAAAATACGAAGCAACGTAAGGAAAATGTGCTTGGAAAAGGAAAAAATAAAACTGCCTTTAGTCCCACCTGCCTGGAGGTGCCAGGAGGTGCCCAGGGCTGTAGTCAGCATCAGGAGGAGAGCAGAGACATCACAGAGAGCCATGGTGACCCTCCCTTCCCAATCGCTAGGCTTAAAAAGAAGCCCATTTTCCCATTAAAATCAAGCTGTGATGGAATTTTTTTGAGAAGACACAGTTCAAACTACCCTGATCTTTCCAGCCTATTGTAGGAAAGCCTTCTCACAGGTGCGTGCCCCTGATGTGGGACCCTCTGACATGGCCAGCTGCAGCCCCTACAGACACACAACCGAAGCTGGGGCACAGGCACAGGGAGCAGAACTGGGCAGCACTGGTGCTGCGGTCCTTGGAGCACTGGTTCCCTGCAGTAGCTTTGACGGTGACAGATACCTCTCTTCCCCATCCAACAATGACACTCTAATATGATTTCTGCCAAGAAAGTGTCTCTCAAATGTTTTATTTGTGGTATCAATATACTGACAAGCTCCTGGTGCTTTTGGCTGCAGAAAACATCATAGCCCTGGGAAAGGTGGTCGCAGTGAGACCTGCCAGAGTTCCGTGTTTGGGCACGGGGAGGTCAGGGATGGTTATAGCCATCGCATGGGCTTCTGGACCAGTGTTGCCCAGCCTCATCCTAGAGCAAGGTGCCACAGGAGAGCTCACACAAGGCTACACCTCTCCCTGCCCGGCCTGTGCAATCTCCGACGCTTATCTTGGGTTATTGCTATGCAGATCCCTGTCCTGATCATCCCTGCTCTCATTCGTACCCATGCAAGAGGAGTTTGAAGCCATCTTACATAGAGAATGTACATTATTTGAACACTTAAAACCGTTACATGTGTCATTCTGAAGCATAACTGCAAAACTAACTTTGTAGAAGAAGAAAAGAAAAGCAAAAAGTACTTAACTGGAACTGTTTGGATCTGATTTCAGTGGACTTGAACACTTTCCAAACACCTTGTGTACTTACTATGTCAGGATACTTTTCAGTAAAAACCTGACCCTGACACATTGGTGTCTTAAAACAACCATTAGCTTTTATTTAAAAGGAATGGATGGACTTACTCATCAATTCCCCAAATATTAGGCAGAACAAGTGCTGCAAGGCCACACTGCATCCTGCATGTTTAACACTGATTAAGCCCCTACCCCGAAGACCCCAGTTCAGCTCATATGGGTTGAAGGGTTAGGGCTGTTATTATCGTTGTGTAAACACGTAGTAATTATCGAGTTCTTTATCAGCTACTTTTCTCTATTTAGAAGATCATAATTGCTTCAAAATTGCAATCAGTTCAGTACAGAGAGAGGAATGAATAATTTATAAAGATGTTATGAGGTTGCTGCTCTTACTCTAAGTGCAGTTTTTACACAGTACAAACACAGAATTATTGAATCCCTAAGCTGAATTTGATGGTGCTTCTTTTCTTGGTGTTGGAGGATTTTTATATTCCGTTCACTGTTTAACTTGCATGCGTGATGCTGGCAGTGCTTTTCAATGTGACTCTTCAAAACTTGATTTCTGCAAAGCAGGCCCAACTGCAGGAGCAGCAAGACATCCCCATCATCCAGCCCCACAGACAGTCATTATTCAAAGCTGATGAAAAATGCATGCACTTGGCAAAGGTAAGACATTCACAGATAACTACAGGCCTGAATGATTTATGAAACAGGTGCTCTGATGGGGACAAGTATCTAGTTTCTCTCTTTGACAGCCCTAAAAATCATATAATCTTTCTTGGAGGCAGTTCTACTTTTAGCCAATGACAAGATAAGGCTCTGTTATTGATACAGAGTGATAACGGCAAAGCAAAGATATTAATATGTATAGAATGTCTGAGTTTTCAATTACTTTACTAGGATCCCAAAATAGGAGAGTAATCTTTCACTATGCATTGCATACAGCAACACGTTGTGGATATCTCCACTAGGTATCAGCATATATTAAGAAAATAAACTATTTTTTATGATAGCATGCAGTATCCAGTCCAGGGGACATGAGATGCAAGATCTGCCATCCATCCCTGATTGCCACTGGCTGTATCGGACAGCATTAATCAAATCACTTTGCTTTGCGGTGCTGCAGGTCCTCCATCAGAAACGGGGTTCACAGCACTTCCCTCTCTGCTTAAAAAGGAAGATAATATCATAATTTATTAGGATGCAGATTTTATCTGGGTACAGATAATATCATAGTTTACTAGGGTGCAGATTTTATCTCACTAATCTCTGTTGCACCAGTAGTTTTATTGTTATTATTATTTTTATTATTATCATTATTGTAATACAACTGCACAATAAAACTGTGTTACTCAGTTACTCCTCAGCAGCCCTGGCTATTTGGCACCTTGTCCCCCATACCCAGAGAGATGCCGCTCTCCCGGTGTCCCCGCACAGCCAGCCCAGCCCCAGGAGCACAGGCAGAGGCTGGGCACACTCTCTCTGCCACGACTCTGAATTTGGAGACAGATTTCTTTTTTTCCCCCCAATCAAGAGTGATTGCAAGTTTCTGCAGAAAACAAACCAACACAGTGGTTGTTTGGAAGAGTAGCCTTTTTACAGAAGACCATTTCTTTTCCTTGAATACCAGCTACACGGTGTAATTGGCATTACAGCCATTACGCTGGTGTAATCATACAGTTATTGACATTATTCGGAAGGACATAAACACAGCTGAGTGGTTTGGTCCATGACATTGTCCCTTCTGAGATCCCATCTACAAAACCCCATTTTTCAGATTTAATTGACCTCTCCATTCTCTAGTTTATCTTGTTTGGGGGTAGGAGGCGAGGCAGCCAGCAGCTTTCCATACAGCCCATGCAAACGGGTTAGATGTTCTTGTGTTAGCAGTGGTTTGGGGTCACACTGGGCATCCTGACCTGTCTGGTGGGGGCTTTTGCTGGTGAGTGGTGCCTCAGTAGGGCAGGAGGAGGGACCATGAAGTTCCTGCTGGCTTCAACCTCAAACTCCAGCGCTACAACAGCTGCTGGGCAGCACAACCGGTGGTACAAGGGGCCGGTGCAAGCGCCATGGCTCAGTGCACCCTCTTGGCTGCTGCCTTGCTTTGGGTGTGCCGGGGTGGTGGTGGCCGTGGCGTGGATGTTGACCCTCGTGCTGCCGCCTGCACAAGGACACACAGGGACCATGAGACATCCCACAGGGCACTGGCACGATGGGAGTGATGTTTCAGGTGAAACAAGCCTTCGGGGAGGGGCCTTTCAGCAGTGCTGGAGGTAACACCAATTAATTCATGCTCCCATGGAAGACATCCAGAGGGACCATCCTTTATTAAACAAGAGCAGCCAATTTATTGAGGCAGGTATACGGCAAAATCCTATTTTCACCAAGCCACTGAGCCTGTCCATTGTGTTTCATGATCACTGCATGCAGATATATAAAAGGCGGCTCGATAAAGAAAGATTCCTTACAAAAAGGAATCCCATTTCTCCAGCACCACCCAAGCAGCTCATGATGGGCTGCAGCTGGAGCCCCTCATCCCAGCCCTTGTCCTGCAGCTGGGCAGCACCTGAGGCACGTGCTCAGCTCTCCTCTGCTCCGTTGTGCACCCTGGCTGTTGCTGAGCCTGCTCCCACATGGGTACCAGGTAAGAGCATGCCAATATGCTCCAAAACTGTGTGGCTTGGTGCTTGAAATCCCCCTCAAGGGTTTCTGGGGTTGCAGAGCAGTTTGGGTGTAAGAGGGAGTCTCTTCTTTTCTTGCACAGCCTGGCACTGAGGCTCACAGGGTTGTGTGGCAGACAAAACTATCCCACACTGGTAACCATCATGGGGAGGACCTGAACCTTGCCTGAGCTCACAGTAAGGACTTTGCAAAATGCGATCAATAAGGTTGTATTACTTTAGGGAAGGAGACCATTAAAGAGACAAGCAACACCTCATGGAAAAGGCTGTAGAGAGAGTAATTGTGTTGGGTAAGAGGAAAACTGCTGATTTTTGTCAAGAAGGGGTTTTGGTTAGAGATGGGGGTGGGAGTGGGACATCCCGGTGTCTGCAGCCGATGGAGGGAGCCCGCAGTGTTCCCTGCGCTAGAGGCTTTGTGGAGGGAAGTTGGGCAAATGTTTCTGCTCGAGAGCTGAGGTTTTTTTCCAGTGACAGAATGAAAGAGATTGATTTATCGGTTTAAATCAATGATACTATGTCTGTAAGTACCCTGATGGGGCAAATGCTGCTTAAACCTAGGGGAAGGCAAAACTGGAATTTGTTGGGTAGGTGAAATTGGAAAAATCCCTATCTGAAACTGGGCTAAACAGCACAGAGGGATTTATGGATTTCCCACTGGTGGAACCTGCCTGGCAGGGCTTCCCCGCGACTGTCGCCCAGGGGAGCCGAATGGCTTTCTGAAAGGGGCTTCTTTAGCCCAGACCCTCCTGGGCTCACTTTGCAGGCAGTGGGATCTGATTCTGTGATCTTCAATATGTCAAGGGAAAGCAGGTGATCTAGTGGTCCCATCTGGCCTTAAAGCTGTGAGAATCTCCTTAAAATCTGTCCGTGCACACTTGCCTGAGCTCAGTGCCCAGTATGCCGGGAGTGACCATGGTGCAAGAGCTGAAATCACTTCCCCTGTGAGCCCGATAGCCCATCTGGCTCCCAAAACCTTGCTTCATTTTACTTGCCAAAAACGTGTTGTTGTTATAAGCAACAGCAGCATCAACGATGAAGTGAGGAAGCGGCCAAGAAGACTATCAAGACACTGAGTCCTTCGCAAAACACTTTCCTAGGGCTACAAAAGCAAGCAGAGATGAAAGCTGAGTGGGAAGCAGCATGGGGTCCTGTGGGCGAAGGCAGGAGGAGCTCCCCGCTGCGGGGCAGGGCTCACGTCTGGGGTGAAAAAGCCCCTTTTGGAGGACAGTGTGCGGTTTTCTTTTTTTTTTTAGATGAGACCCATCCGGGCTCTGTTTGCTCTTGGTTTGCATCACAGCCAGTGAACTCCTCACAGAGGAGCGAAACCGGGCAGTGGGAAAGGATTAAGACACTGATGCTATCTACTGCCTTGGTTAAAAAATGGGCGGTTTGGTTCATTTGTTGTGCTGGGATCTCAAATGATCACCAGATCTCATCCTGCGCTCTCA